TTATAGTTAAATTAAGATCTGGTAAGCTATAAGTTGCTCCGATTAAGCTTCATGTTTCCGTTGGTAAAAGTTGGGTTCATTTTGCTAAAAAGTAGACCTGGAGTTAGTTATGGCAAATGGGTCTTTTCAAATGTTGGTGCGCCCAAATCGACATAATCCAACAATTGGTCAAATTCTGCAATGCGACGTCAGTTAGTAGTTAGTAATAAACCACTCCTGGTAAGGTATACCTTGATTAAGGTACCTATTGTAGTTTCTCTATCAGTTGAGTTTGATTGATATTGTTTATTTACTATAATGAATAGGATGTTTGTATTAATTGGCTACATATTCTACAATTGTACATCTGGTTTATATCATATCAGTGTAGTTATCATAGATTACCCTCAGATACCCTCTAGTATCATTTTATAGTATTGAATAGAGCAGATTTCTTATCAATCTAATTAGAAAGTACCTCTAACTGTTTTATACATAGGCCTATGCTAAACCTACCAAAATCACCAATATGGATCATTTTGTGTATGCAAGGCTTGTAGCAACTCTTAACCCCCTGGAAATTCCCCAAGCTCCGTTTGTAACCATATCAGTTAATGAAAAGATTAATAAAACGGTCATTATACATATGACATCATCTTTCTGACAAATTGTTTTAAAATAGAATATCAACGAATTAAAAGTTTTATTTCGAATCAAGAAGTATCAGATCGCCACGCCAGTCAGGAACTGAACATCCCCAGAGCTATCTTTATGTTCTTTACTTCTAAAAATAACATTAAAAAGTCGTATTATTTCATATCCTGTAGCTCAATTTTCTACTGTATTTAAGCTGATTGTTAAAATTTGCTATTTGAATTAGAGCAATGGAATATCATTTGATGTTTCCATGGTAACAGTTAATATAGATATGATTTTATTTCTGATCTTAATACGACAACAAATTGCTCCTGTAATTCCCCTTCTAGTGTAATTGTTCACCAATTGTCTATATTTAACCTTATTTCTAGATTCTGTTAACATCTAATTCATATTGTACATTGTATCTGAATCTAGCCTATATTAATGAATGCGGATTTCTAATTCGAATTGTTTTTTTTATCTAATTTTGTTTGATCTCTTATAAACTGTCAATCAACAGAATGTGTTTGAACGTTTCTAATTATTATTTTCTTCCTAAAACTCGGTTACAAAATGTATAAAAGGAGCATATAACCATCTGTTTAGCAACGAAATATTGTATTGGTTAGGTTTTTTTTATCGAGTTAATTTCTGTAAACTCGCAAAGTTGCTATGTCCTTGTACGCAGTTAAAAATATGAACTGGATAGACATTAAATTATTGTTGAAAATGTACGTACCCTAATCTTGTTTATACGAAAAATAAGACTCTGACCTTGGTGCTTTTAAAATATTCTTTTCGTGAGATTTTTGCATTAGTCAGTAATCCAAAGATACAACAGAATATTCAACTGACAGATGGTGCAAGCAATTAGTGGATATTGGTCCTTAATACTTGTTAGTTTTACATGCCAATATAAAGAAATACTTGGAGCTCTTTTAGAGAGAGCCAAATGAATTACGTTTGGTGAGTCAAATCATAACATACTTTTCTACTTATGGTTCACATTAATCTACTATATATTGTCCGAGATTGGTCATAAATAATGTTCGCTTATTGAAAACTCATAAACTTTGTATACGTACTCATACATTAGTTATATGAAAATATAAAACATATAACAGGAAAAGAGCAAAAGAAGAATTATAAAGAAAATGACAATTCCTTCGTTTGTTAACTTGTTGAATATTATTGACGTATTCCACTATGTTTTCGTCATCGTTAAATCATTCCATTTCATTTCATTCACTTCTGATTTGTTGAAGGATTATATGAAGAATATTGAGTGAGGTTTGGGGGATTTGTTGGTCACTATATTAAATTAATGCTGAATTAAGTTGGTTTACTGACCTGATTGTCTGGTCCGAGTCAGAAAATAGATACATATCAAATCTCTGAAGACGGATTCCGCCAAATTAATTATTATGCCAAACCCAATATGAACAAGATGTCAAACCGAAATGTTATGATGGGTTCCGCAAATGTAATGATGTTAAGACGATTTCAGGAATTTATTGATAATATCAAACCGAATCTGTAAAGACGGGTTCCCCAAATTCAATGACGAGTTCCGTAAATTTAATGATGAAAATAAGCAAATTTGTAGATACGGTTTCTTTAAAATCTTAAATTATAAAGACGTATCGTGAAATTTTTTTAGGGATTTGGAGCAAAATATATATGACAGCGCGAATAGCATAGCAGCAACACTCCAGTGAAGCTGTAACTTGAAAACGTAGTAGATGTTAATTGTATATTCAATATGTCAGATTATTTCGTCATCAACTCCTAATCTATTACTGACTTAAAATAACAATTAATAATTATATTCCCGGTAGTCAATAATTTCAATAGGATACGGTCCACAGACATGACGACAATACTAAAATCCATATGACGGGGGTACAATAGATCTGATACTAAATAAATGATACTAAATCACGCAAATTATCAAATGCACTCAATTCAACAAGCAGAAAAAAACTAAACCGAAAAAAAAAGTTTACTGCTGGTTATTGTCGATACAGAGAACTGAATCAAGAGATTTGTCTTGGAATTCGCTTGTTTCTTTGCAAAGCTCTGACCTCAGAATTGAATTACTGATATAAGTCTAAAGCTTCGAATATACGATGTACGGTTTACATCGTCCATTCGCACCTTTAGTAAGATCTCCAACTAAGCACTGACATATATTTGACCGCATTTGAATAAATATTGAGTAATGTACACAAGAATTGTAAATGATGCGGAATTATGAATTAAGCTGGCATAAGACTGTTAAGAAAGACTGTAGAACTTGCCCCATCCGAGTCATATGACCTGTATCACTGGTAAACGGATTGAAGAGTATCTTGTACTATAATATGCCGGTCGAACAAGCATTGAGGATAGTTCATGGTGAAGCCAGGTTCCAGATGTTCCTCTGTAACTTTACCCTTGTCAGTTCAAGAACCTCCCATCTTAAAGAAATACAGTGTACTACCTCTTAGGGTGACCAAAAAAATAATTTTTTTTAAACTTGGCGAATATAATTTTTGTTCGTCCTATAAATCCATAAAACTAAGTAATAATCCATTCAACGAAATAAGTTTGAAACATGCTTAGAAGCTTGTTCCAATAATTATTTAGTTTAATGGATATGTCGTCTTATACAGAGATTCTGTTCTTTAGTGGCACCCGGTAAGTCCAACTGATAAATATACACACTTGTTAACCAATTTTGAGGTTTCAAATTTTATGTCAATTTTAGTATTCCTTAGAAAAAAATGATTACTGGTGTTGATATGTTGCACATAAAAATCATTCAAACATTCTGGCATTAACTAGAAAACTATTTTCTATGTATTTTGAATATGATGTGTTAAACTTAATTGTTAACTTCTGACATTTCCATGTTTTAAGTCTAAAAAAGATTTGCATAATTGAAAGTGCAGGAAAACAATAAATATGATTTCCATTTAACAAATTGGTTTTAAGCAATAAAATACTAGTAGAGAGTTCTATTCAAACATTGACTATTGTTTTATTATACAGTTAATACAATTATAAAGTTATTAACACTAAGTTCACAACATACATCACCTCTTTAAAATAGTATTTGATGTAGAGCTATTAAAAATACTCATAAAGGAAAATATCTGAATGGGAAGTGAAATAAAAAGATACTTTCATAAACTGATCATTCAAAAAACATTTGGCGAAAAAGTACAAACACATTATAAGATAACCTAAAGAGATATTAAATACTTTTGTTGATTTAGCTGCATTTTGCTTTAGGTATTATATCTGTTGCTTCTTCTTTACTCATTAAATGAACTACATGGAATGTTTTTGATTGAAAATGGATCTGTTAGATGTTTTAACTTGACTTATTGATGATGTGGCCCGTCAAACAGCATCCTCTTGTGGTAGAGTTGGTTGGTAGAGTAACGATCTATAGCAACTGTGTGACTGGCTGAACAAGTTGAAATACTGCTTTCACAAACAGTGAGAGGCTTTTACAAATTGTACAGATGCACGATCTTTAAATGAATTTCACAATATGGGCTGGGATGTACAACCTCAGCGATATCTCTGATACTGAATTATCTTTTTAATATTCTACAATTTATAGGCGATATAAACTGTGTTGAACTATGCAGCCGTTTGTATCTCTATTGTGATAAGTTATCCATTGATTCACTAAACACTAATGCTGAAATGGAAATAATTATATTTTGTATATTGTTCTAAACCGCGCTGGTGCTATATCATCACAGAATATTCTGTCAAGTCAATGTTTTATCCCAACCTTTGTTTTCGTAACGCGTTGAATAAAAAAACACAGTAGAATGGTGTTAATATGAAGGTGTAGGATTTTATCTGAACTTTTAATTAACGCAAAGCAAAAGAAAATACATTAAATTAGACATTTTTCATTTCCTGTTAAGTGTGTTTTTATATAACAACTATTATATTATATATTAGTATGGTGATAGTGAAATTCAGATCCTGAATCCATTACTGATATTATTCTTCTGAACACAAGTAATATTTTTTTAATAATATATGATTTTTTTTTACACTAATGATGGTACAAGATAAGTATGTTTTATAAAGAATTTAGGCGAGAAAGAAGCGTGAAGCCGTAGTGAGAGTCATTTAATTAAATAGTGGTTACTAATAAATACATTTTCTTCTCAAAATGGGAAAGTTGCCGCTAAAAATCTGTGCATTATTTTCTGCACTGTCATTATAGACGTTTAGAATGAACGAGCGTCGAGCGGCATAGTGTTATCTTCCATTAATGCTCTGTAAGGTCCTATATGAAGGAGAAGGTAAGTTACTCATAGTGATATCTGACATTGTTCCTCTGTAACATCCTAAATGATGAAGGTGGTAAGTTACTCGTTGATGTCTGACGTTGATATCTGACTCGGTAACGCCCTAAATGAAGAAGGAGGCCAGTTACACATAGAGATATCTGAGTTATTCATAGTGATATCTGCCATTGTTCCTCCTCCGTAGGAAGGAAGAAGGTGGTTAGTTACTCGTTGATATCTGACGTTGTTACTCTGTAACGCGCTAAATGAAGAAGGTCAGTTACTCATAGTGATATCTGACATTGTTTCTCTCACTGTAACGTCCTAAATGAAGGAAGGTAATCAGTTAACCATAGTGATATATGACATTGTTCCCATGTATAGCCCCAATTGAAGAATGTGGTCAGTTACATTTGGTGATATCTGATCGTGTAACCACAGTGATGTTTCTATGAATCATTAGGTGGAGAGGCCACATAGTCGCCACATGACACTTACAAGATACTTGAGGAGGCAAAGCCCCTGCCCCCCGCAACTTGAACATTCGTGTTGAGGAATTACCGCATTGGTGATAGTTTTGAGATGGTATGTTTAGTATGATCAGAACATCCCAATTTCAAAACATAGAGATACTTAGAGGACTGTATATCTTCAAAGTCGACATTCACATTAATCGAACAGCCGACAGAACTATTCGTGGGACAAACTACAAGACAATATAAATACAGCTCACATCCGATATCAGTAATATCTAACAACTTCAATAGCCACTTATTACAGTAATAACATTTATGGCAAATGAATTGGTAACACAAGGTCAAGCTCTTAAGTTATATAAGGTGTTACAATAATATTAGATATTATATAGTGTTATTAGCATACTTTACGCATACTGTAACAAAATGGTCGTTGAATTGAGTGGGTTTTTAATATTATCAACATATCTGAACCTAAATATTCCAGGAAGTTTGAATTCTAAAATAAACAGATATAGATGGTGAGGGAAATTATTATCTGAAAGCGAATGAATATTTGATTTGATTCAATTGAGTAGCGGGCTTAAGTTATGGGCATAAATAAAAAAAATCAATTATATGAAATAAAAAGAATATGCTTAACAAAAGTTGCACATAATTTGACTAACAAAGAAACAGTGGACAATCAAATACAGATATGATAGCGGTGTCAAACTAGGTTCATCTCCAACATGTAAAGTACCTAACTCGGCTATCAGTTATGAAGTAAAGGGTCCTTAAGTAAAGAACCATAATTGAATTAATAAAATTTGGCACTTGCTGTGATTTTCCATTAACATGTGCATTTACCTGCCTTAATTTGAAATCGGTATGAAATGTGTTAAGTTGTTATTAAGAGGTTTATTACACCAACAAATTAAGCGAGTTACAAAAACATTTCAAAGAAGATCAACATTAAATTTATTTAAAATCACTATGTTCTGATTTTCTGACTATGCGTGAAATCTTTTAATTAATTAGTAACACGTTGTGCAGCCTGTGTTTTTACGTGCAAAATAACTAAAGCTGAACGAGGCGCATTAACAGCTGTCAACCGAACAAAGATATCACAGTCACTAATAAAATAATTATACAACACATTAAAGAATACAGAAGGGACAAATTTAGATATACTTTCTCGTGTCAGATGGACTTCGTAGAAGAATTGCAAAATGAAAGCCAGCATTCAATCATGAGACTAATCATAGGTAGAAAAATATACATCAACCAAGTGGTTTGCAAGGCAAAAATACGAGATCAGTCATCATAATATTCCCAAAACCAAATTTAAAACTAGAACTCTTTAATGTGTAGTGGAAAATATAAATATGTTTTGAAATGTCTGGGCGATATTTAATACTCTAAATTGGTTTATAGATTATATTCAGTCATATAGCTTCCAGTCGTATCAAGCCGGGACTTAACAAATAGACCAATTTCCTACACCAAGTCAGTATTAAAACAAGTAAATGGTGCGAACATGTACACGATGTACCGAGTTAAATAAGTAAACTAACTAGGGTTAAAGAACGTCTACTTGTTTCTGAACCATGAGGATTTAAGCTCAAAACAACAGTGTTTAAAGACTTATTTCTGATATGATTCATCAGATTTTGCGAGGATTGAAGCAAACTGAAACATCATCCACCATCAGCCTTGTCAGGATTCACATCATTCACAAATAGTGAAATCTTTATCACAAAGATTCACCACAACAACCGGCGTTCTTGAAACATTATTGGTGGGTACCAGTAACAGTAACTTATATCCATTGGTAGAATGGTTTGTGCCCTTTTCAGATCCACCCAGTTTCCACCTTTCTGTGCTTCATCGTTCAGGTGGGACAGTAAACAAAAACCAGACTAAAGATCTCTCGACAGTTGGAATCAAGAAGGAAGAATATGATATTATATTGCTATCCCATTCAGAGCGGTGATGACAAAAACATCTTTGGTTATGTCTAACCAGTGATAAACAATACGTTAGAGAATTTTTCTATCATCAACTTGTTGTGCTTAAAAACCAAAGAACGTCAATGTAAAAACAACAAATCAAACGAGAAGCCATTATTGTGATAGTAGAGTGTTTTCTAATAAATTAAACAATTGATACTGATAGAGAATTCCTTTAGGAGTTCTTTAATATCACAAAACGTCTAAAAACGTAAACAACATTGAAATAGGTTAATCCATTCTGTTATCAAGATGTTTTGAATGCGTCAGATCCGTGTTGGATATCTGTAAATCTACCATGTTGCACAGCTATATTACGTCAGAGGTAAACCACAAATACGGTTACATCTTCAATTACAAAAACAAGAGGTGGCAAAACCAATTCATTTGATGGGCGTTCAGAACTCACGCATTGTCAATGTGCTGAATGATAAAATCCATTACAAGGACTTGATAAACTGTTCCCATTTACTACAGACATCACGTTTATTCGACCCAGAGCCAACATACTTCAAGAGAAGAACCACCTACTGGTATGCCGGTTTGTTTTTAATCATTCACCCTATCAAAGCTAGACGTACTAAGCCAAGATCGTTGAATATTCCTGCAGTTGGAATAACTCAGGTTGACATTGGGATAATTAAAAAGTAGCTATACTACAAAAACGATTCTGTATAGATTGTCTTGTACCCAGTCTAATGCCTCATGTACGTCTTTAACAGGTTTATCTAAGGATTCCGCCAATTTCAAGCAACATATTATAGATTCGATTTCAATTGAAAAGTAATGTTAGACTATTTCAAGTCGTTTTAACATTGAACCAAGAACATGAGAAATTCGGATTTCGCAATTACAGACCAACTACGAGCATGCGACGTCTTATGGAATGAAGGCTACAAACCGAGAAAACGAACCCTGGACTCGTTAAATATATATAATAGCCATTTTCGGATACTAAATTGCAAAGTTTAATTTAGAAATCACTGAACATAAAAACACACATACAAACCTCTGCCGCTGCATTGATTTTCCCAAACCCTTCCCCGCCTTTTACGCCTTTCTTCATCAAGCTTCCCAGAAAATGTTATAAATCTAATCCGAGATTCGGTAAGTCAAGTATGATTTGACACATTTGGTTAGCAATAGAATCAGTCTAAATATAAACAAATCGGTCAAAGACGTTTCTCTGGAGAAATCATGAAAATATAAATTTAGATCTCAAATTGATACAAATGTAACATTTTAAATTGAAATGTCGCGAAAGTCTTCTTCCGGTATTATAGGAGCAATTTGCGTGCCTGTGTAATCCCTGGTTCCTGAAACCAGTCGTAGAGTAAAACGGCGTATTCATGAGAAGTATCTTTTAAAGAAAACAACAAAATGTATTTGAACTGGTTTCTCGCAAAATTAACAATGACAGCTTGAACAGTATGTGGCAGTAAGTAATATTTCAGTAGTCGAAAATTTAATCAAAAAATAAAGTAAGGAACAACTATGATTTTACAAGGGTCTCAGGTTCACAACAAATCCTTTCTATCAACAGGTCGTTGGCAAAACCTCTTTGCATAGATCTTTCGCAGATTGTCCGAAACCATTTACAGCTATGAGTGACTATCCAAGGTCAGCGAACTTCCACACACCGCCCGAGATTAGAACCCACGACTATCATCTGTTCCTATCAAGCAAATGAAGTCTTGTAAAGAATGAATGCTACAGAACCACAAACTGAAACTAAAACATCAACTGTAACATCAACCTGCGTAAATGAATGCATATAAAATAAGCATACTGACATGTGAACCCCAGACTCTTAGATGTGGCTAAATATAAGAGGCTGTCATATAAAATTAGATAATAATACAGTCTATTATAGATTGGGATATTTCATGGCTTTTATAAGCTTTCTTATCATTTCTCTTACTCCCCAGAATATAATAGCTTCTATAGATTCATCAACTCTTACATTTCACTCGTAGGATTTCCTTAATAAATTGGAAATTATTCCACGCGGCCATATACATCAGTGGATACCCGCGGCTATCTTCATCTTAACGCTATTATCCTCATGCTATTCGTACATTCTCGACTCTCTTAACATACACTTCATAACAACTTCCAAAATTTCTGTCACAACAACATTATTGACAATGTTTGATATTGTAAATGTCAGCAGAAAGTTTGTTAAACTTGTATTCCATGCCTCTTACCTTTACGTTTATGAGCATGGAATTGTTGAAACACAAACAACATGGAAGCACGCCGTCTGTCTTTAGTCCGGAGCGGAGACTCTAGATGATGATCTTTCACACCAAACCACATCTCGGTGGTGAAATGCGACTTCTCAAGGACTTAGATCTAGAAATATACTTTATTAGGGTTTTGAAACGAAGAACAAAAAACGACGACATAAGTACTAATTCTGCCACATATTGTCTAAAGCAAATTCAGATTCTTAACAGTCGGCTTTGGCGAAAGTTTACAGATAGCAACCATAATCAACTGATTGGTAGCAGATTCTAACCATAATGGTAACTGGTAATAACAGCAATCTTCTGGTCAGTTTCATCCACGTGCTTCCAACTTCAAGGTTGTTGAAAATTCAGTTGCTCCAATATTCAACCAGGATGGACAACTTAAACCACACGTTTAGGGTAATGTGAAGTGAACATTTTCCTTCAATACGATTTGGATTTTCGGTAATATCTGATGTTATAACCCTCAATTCTCTAAGAAGTAGTAGCCTTACTCGTGGTTAGTCCAATAAAAGAAAGTACTTCCTTATAGAAACGTTCATTAACTGACATTCCACCCCATTCTTCGTAACAATTTATATCCATCATAAGCTTATTAGCTGGAAATTATATTAATTGGAAGGCCAGTCTCAAATTTGATGTGATGCAATATAGGTGGTCTAATTCATCATCTATATCTAGAAGCGATTAATCTACATAAAAGATTTTTATTACCAGACATTCCATTCTAATAAGTCCAAGTTGCAAACAAATCAAGTGAAAATCGACTATTTCTATACAACAGATGTCAAAATTCTGCTTCCTTTGAACACATAATCGATTTTATCTATATTCAAACGCATGTCAAAAATTTGTTGAATAATTCTGCATGCGTATAAAGATGGTAAAAAAGACCATAACCAGTTGACAGTTGGTGTTCTTGCCACGATCAAACTTTATGTAGTCAGCAGAAGCTTTTTTTCTTTTGAATGAATATATTCTTTTCTGTCAAAGGGCTTAATCTTAAAAAACACTAAAGGACATACTTGTGTGCATGTACTTGAAACTGTCCAATTTTAAGTGGACAATTGAAATAAGTTAGTCTTGCAACAGAAATTTATCAAGAATATCACATATCTATACATAAAAAACTATACATGTGTACATATATTTAAACAGTGAGGACTAAGATATCGAGTCCTCGTTTAATCTGCAATTATAAAGCTATTTCTTTAGTTTGGGGTCAAATATTCCAATCTGAAAAGAGTCTTTTTACCATAGCAAAACTACCCAGACCTATCAAACTTGTATAGAATCAGAAATGTTATTGCCTTTAAGAGCAGGAAGAGGCTTAATGGTATCTTTCCGCGATATATTACTTTTGACCGATATACTTTGTAAATACACTAATTTACTAGTTTATGCGGCTGAGAGAAAATTGCCGCCATCCCTTTGTAGATAGGGTTACCATGTCACGTGACAATCATCCAGATTCTACAATTATTTTTGGAATATCACTCAATATGAATATTTATACATAGCTTATACAAATACATCACGATATATGGTTTGACATCTGACCTCGCCTGTCTAGATTTCCAACAGAATGTTTGAAAAAGCCCGGGGTAGAATATGCCAATCTTGCAAATTCAATCAATCTGTGCTCTAATTTACCAAATATTAAGATTGAAGAATTTCGAAAGAGGAGGTAAAAGTTAAAGGTTTGTGTAATAATACCACTTCCATTACAATTGATAGCATTGGGTTAAGCTGGTAGGTAATTGGTGTATCAGACACACCGGAAATGCTTTGATAGTAAAATCGTAATATTGATCAATAGTCCTATAAATTTCTATTTGATATTAAATAGTACAAATAGATCCAGTTAAACAATAGTGAGGCCTTCCGAGCTTTCAGTTGTTATATTTTTTCAACATAAAAGCAGTCACAAGACTGCATAATGACCGATACATAGATAGACTATATATACTATTAGCAATTAGACTATTAGACGATACAAAATTCATGGTTTTCAACAAAGAAGTAGATCCCACTAAGGTACCACGAATACTTCAGATTTAACGCACGTTAGACATTTTGGTATTTTAAACACTTTTTTGCTGAAGTTGTTCCATGTCTGATGCCGACTACAAGTCATGATTTCCAAAAAGTGTTTAATCGGAGGTGTTAATTGCAGGCGAAAGAGCGTGCGTATGTGGAAAGGCCTTCACTGCATTTTACGATTAAGAATCAAATGCAAAAAAAAAAGCATTACAAAAAGTTTTGACAAGTCTGTGCTTAAAGAAAAAAGCCGACCAGACTTGACTGCTTTTTATTTAAGTCGAAGGTTATGAAATCATAAACAATGGATTCAAAATATTCACATATTTCACTTAGAATAGTAGTAAGTGGAAATTGAATTAAAAATGCCAAAATACATAACAAGTCACTTCCATCTGTTACGAAAAGCAATACGTCAATTATGTCAAACTTTTTTTTTATAGTACTTACATTCTAAAAATCTAGCATCAGTGATATTCATAATAAGTTCCTTTACATTCGAAATAAATCGCATGTATAAATTACGAAGACATTGTATATTTGCATCAAATACCGAAGTCCCTGTACATTTTAGGAGCTCCAAGGAAAAATGCTATGAATACTACAGTTTTTATACGAGTTTGATCGAATATGGTATTTTAATACATACATCTAAAATGAAGAATTTTAATTTGAGTGAATATCACCCCCTGTGATTGTTCATTGTTTGAATTTTAACCCCCTTGTTATTTCCTTTGATCTCGAAAAATGGATCTACAATAGTTCCTTTAGTTTTCAGCCAATTGTAATGTAGGTATATTAAAATTCGACTTTTCACAAACCGCAATTGAACGATATCTCACTATTTAAATTCATCGAACAATCAATTCAGAATCATTGCATCATGTGTGCATGTCGGACATTGAACTCTTGACATTGATGTATGGTATAGAGTAAATACAAATATTCATATCTTTGGACGGATAGTAAATATTTGTCAACAGATTGCTTCCCTTTAAAACACTCCATTAAAAAATAATGTATGGACATAGCAGTAACAGGTGTTGCGGAAAGAATAAGTATATATTTCCGTCTTAAACTACGGATTCGGAACAGGACAGGTAAAATATTTTTCTTATCTTGGTCAAATCTGATCATATCCTACCACAAAGTTCCGTATATAGCTGATAAGGGCAGGTGTGCCGGATTGATTTATCTAATCTATCCATCAACACAGGTATTTCTCTTATCAGTCCTTATTCCATGAATTCCAACTCTTACACTGTTCATCATCTCGTTTTGATAAATTTACAAAGGAGTTGATAATCCCCATTAAAGCGATCTATTCTGCTAGTGAAAACCATGCGAATGGTAAAAGTGAATTTGCAATAGTTTATAGGTGACATTTCTACACCTATGTGTGGATATTACGTCTATTCCGAAAATAATCAACAGTTTGTGTTTCTTTATCGTAAACCATAAAACATTTTGTTGACATTTCTTATTGACAATGTTCTGATATATTTCATATTTTCTTAACAATGTTCCGCATTTCATTTTCAGAACTTACGAAGGCAAAATATTGATAGGTAATTGTGCGGTCTACTTACGTGTAGATTAAACACTTCGCATATAAAAGACAAAAGATGAGAGGTGAAAACGTGAAAAAGTTCACAAAATTTTACTTCGTACGCATTTTGAATAATGTTAAAGACCTATGTTTCAACTTGAAAAACAATTTGATAAAAGTGAAAAAAGAAACATTGCTTTTCTAAAAGAATCACATCAAACGTCATAAAGTTATAAAAAAATTTTCAAATATTGCACAGATGCAAAGTTCAAAAATCGAAAATAGACAACTTACCGCATTAACAATAAAGTTATCCTTGTGCTTTAGAAAGTAATTCCAGAATGAATACGCTACAGATACTGTGATATCCACTATATTGAGCCCGAGATAAAAGTATTGGACAGTGAGTGTGATGAACATTACTAGCAATACTGATACATCATTTACTAACCTAGCCACCGCAGTATTAATACCTTATCACCACGCGCAATGTGCAGTCAAATGTCACCTCATTTCACCAAGGAACATAAGAGGTGTAATCTCTGACGTCAGTAAGGGTCTCTAGAAGCAAGTGCAGGCCCTTGATAGTTACACGTCACTAACACACAATAAAAGACTTCAATGAATTAATATTTGAAAAAATATTACCATAAAAAGTCAATATTCAGTGATAAGAAACTAATGCTCTGATTACGATACCGTCTTTATTGTAAATGACGTGAATAACTGTAAAACGTGATACATATCTTTTTTTTTTGAAAATCCAAAAGAGAGTCAATATCCCGCACACATAATATGGTTAAATGCATAAAATGTTTCGTATTTTTCCCACAAATTTAACCTGCATTTTTTTTTTATTTCCGGGTTGTTGCCCGATATTTTCGGCGGAGTTTCTTTCAGAACTTAATTATTTTTAGAGCAATACCCGAAAACACTACTTGTCTGCCCAAGATTTAGTTCGGTTGCTGCTCGCTCGAAAAAAGAATATTTTGGCTGCCCCCTGCATTCCCCAAAACAAGAAAGGTGGCTATTGCAGTCCACGGTATAAGAGGAAGATCTTATTAGCTTGACATTGTGGAGATGCACCAATACATAAATATTAGCGGTAAAAAATCATTCTCTTAAATTCAAATACACGATGCTTTGCCTCATTTCAGTTGTACCCCATAGATCAGAACGACTGACACATAGTTGCCTTTGAATCCTTTATTGTACGTGGGACATGCTACTATTTTCTTTGTGCCTTTACCGCACCATTCGCTTTAACATAATGTTAGTGATCGACAAAACATTTATCCCTGAACGAACACAATTCTTTGTTGACATTAGTTAACACCCCTTTTAATATAATAATTAATGCAGAAAGTAATATCATAATGATAATCATCATTCATTGCTATCAATTCTATCTATATGGCACTGTGAATGAAACGGTCGCCAAGAGATTCAAGAGTATAGTCCCTATTGACCAGTATCCA